AAGGAAGCTTTTTAGATTGAGACATATCTATGATTAGAGGTGAAGATACTGTTCTTAGAGAATAGTGATCATTTTCATAAAAAATAAGAAAGCAGTTAATAATTTGCATGGAAATCAAAGGAAATCAGCTTTCTGCATCCGAAACAGTTGCATGACTATCCGCTAACCGGAAAGGGCTCCGTGTTTTTCTGAGGGTGAAAAAACAATAGGGAAATGGTTCTGTTAAACATACTGTGGAGCAGAATTCAAGTTATAAAAATATACATTAACAAAAGTCTTCAGATGGGATATTGTCTTTTTCACCAGATTGAATTTTAGTAGGTACATAATTGGAATATATACTAAATGACAGTTTTCTGATTAGCTCAGGAATTGAATAAAGGTTTAGCTAAAATCTTGATGGACTTTTTTGTGGGATGACAAAATGATTCTAAAATTTATCTAGAGAGAGAAATTAATGAAAATTTATTGGTGAAGAAGGGACTACGGAAGGAAGATTTGCTCTTTCAGTAAAAGTGTGCTTATGAAGCCGTATCGATGAAGATGTAGTGCTAATGCAAGGAAGAGGGCAGTTCACTGAAACAGCAATGAGCCTGGATACTAAGCCGACTGTCCCTGAGATTTCAGTCCATGATAAGGTAGCTTTTCAGATAAGCAGGGAGGAAGTGAATTACTCAATAACTACAACCGGGAAGTTGGTTAGTTGCTAGTCACTTGAATTAACAATATAATCAAGTGATTATACTTAATCACTTGAATGAAATTTATACTTATTTTAATGTGTATGGAAAAAGGAAACTTAAATATATGAAATAGGAATATTTTTCTGATCTTAAGGTGGAGAAGACCTTTCCAAGTTAAAAGCAAAGAAAGAAAAAGAGTTAAGGAAAAGTTGATATAAACCTTAAACAATATTAAAAAGCAAATGATAAGCTAGTGGAGAACAGCAAAATAAATGTATTTCTCTTGTCTGTAGAGTGTTCTTACATATATTCCATTGCTCTCAGTAGTAAATTAGGAAAAGGACATAGATGAGCAGTATACAAAAGAAGAAATAGCAACAGCCAATAAACTGCAAAAAAAAAAAATAATAAAGTCTACCCATAATCCAAAACGTGAATTGAAACAGCAATGAGATGACACTCTTTTCTAAGTCAAATATTTCTGTTTCTCTGATTTTTAACAGTTGGCACTTCTTCTGTAGCTGGTAGGCATGTAAAGTCATACAACCATTTAGCTGTATGTATTTAAAAACCTTAAGCCAATAATTCTACTTCTGCAAGTTTGTCTTAAAGTAATCAGAACCGTGTATAAATATTTATGTTCAAAGATGTTTGTTACCAGCATTATTTTGTAATAATGACCAATGAAAATCACCTAAATGTCTAACAGAAAAAGATCGGTTAGGTTAATTATGCTATTTGTAGGATGGACTACTACGCAAGTTATACATTTGTTGAATACAGTCCCATTTTGTAACAAATTTAGATATAGAAAGAAGACCAAAAGTATATATACCAAATTGTACAGTATCTCTTGTGGGTGGGATTACATGTAATATCTATTTGTTACATTTTAAAAAATAATTTTCAGAATTTTTACAGTGACCAAGTATTACGTTTGTTACAGGAAGAAAAAAGTGGGTGTTCTTTTTAAAAAGTATATTTGAAGAGAGTAGAAGAAATGGAATTCTCCTAGCTTGGCTTAAGGAACTATTTCCCTTTCATTTGGTCTAATGTTTTCGTTTCTCAGATGGAAAACTGAGATCCAGAGAAAATTAGTATTCACACAGATAGTCAAAGCTTTTCTAGCCCCCAGCACAGTCCTTGCTAGTTTTCCGTGCTGCGTCTTCAGCAACCAGATTTCATTTAGTCGGCACAAGTTAATGAGAAGTTTTGTTCACAGCTCGAGCTAATCCAAGATACAGGGTTCCATGCCATTTGCTGAATGAAATGGATGCAGCCAACATTGAACTGCAAACAAAAAGGTAATTTTAACTTACTTTTAGAGTTTGAACGGTTTTTCTGGAGAATGAGGATCTCATTTAGATCTAAATATTCAGAAATGAAAATTCAGAAGGAAAAAGTCAACTAGTTAATGCCAATATCTATTTTGCTGCTGAATTTTTATAGTGCGAGTATCTTTTACTTCGAAATTATCCTTATCTGTGAGAGTGAACAAAATAATGGCACATAAATGGCCATTGCTAAGTGACGATGGAAACCTAAGAAAACTAGAGAAATGGGTGAGCACATAATTGAGCTAAACGAATTGTATCCTGGCCTGTCAGGTTATTCCCTCGCTACAGAGAACCTGCTGTGAAAATCATGCCTCCTATTTAAATAGTCGTGGAGAACTGACCTGTAGTGACAGAAGACCAGGTGAGCAACAGGAAGGACACACGGATTCTGCAAACCATTGCGCTTCACGTCAGCCTTGGGCGGAAACCTATGATGGGTTATTAAAGGGACTGGGATCTGGAGGATTTCAGCATTCTTGTTCGAGGTCTAACCTTGGACCCTGAAGAACTGGTTCTTAATTTGCTATCTGACACAGTCGGTGGGGTACTGGGTTAGGGAAGTGGGTGTCTCATGGTCTTTTTGTGGACCTGAGTGCTTGGTGATATAGCAGGGAAGTGTTCAATATTTTTACCATTGACTCGAAGCTGGGGGCGGGAAATGGCAGGTAGATTGAATGGCAAACCAAGGTTAAAGGAAATCTCAGCAAAAATCCAGACACTAAAAATATAAAAAGTTACCAGTAAAGTATCTTAAGCATGGAAAAATAACCTGGATGAGTGGTGTCGATTAGCAGTTGGTTTTAAAAAAAAAAACAAAACAAAACAGCCTAAGGGGTGTTAGTCAGGCAGCATTAAGCTTTATCATGTGGTCCTCAAAAAAGCTAGTGCCATCTTTGACCACATTAATCGAATGTGTCTGAAGTACCTGAAAGGTGGTGATAGCCTCCTCCAGCTTCGCACGGCTCACACTGCCTGCCATGGAGTGTGACCCTGTGCTTCAAGGCCCCTGGGTGGCCATCGCAGGGCTGCTGCTGCTGCTGTCATTTGACCTGAGGAGAGCAGACTCGGGAGGACCCTGAGGTCAACTTCTGATATTCTCTGGGAGAGTCCCGGGGTCTGGTAGAACTAAGGAGGAGCTAGAAGTTTGTACATCCGACTCCCAACACAGTGATGAGGAGCAGGTTTCTAGCATTTTGTTCATAACTAATCTCAAGACTGGAAGATTTGGGGTGTCAGTTATTTGTTGAGAGTAGCATCACACAGCGCACGTGTGTTAAAACTCATTTTCCTTGGAATTCACGGTGGCAGAGCTAAAAATTTGCTGTTGGGAAACTGAGTCATTTGGAGCATGGAAGAAAAGGATATTAAGTATAATTACTTAGGTAGAATGAAGGAATTTATATTGTAAATCAAATATTTTTGGTTTGAGATGAAACGGTGTTATAAAAACACAGCATTTATATATTTTTTATACCTCTTTAAAGGGCAGAATGTGATTCTACAAATAATAATTTTGAATTGCATCTCCACATGGGCCCTCATTATCATTTCTTCAATGGAGCTTTGCACCCGGTCTCTCAAACCGAAAGTGTGTGGGATTTAATCTTCGATAAAAGAAAAACTTTAGGAGATCTTCGACAATCGATATTTCAGGTAATTTAGCCTCCCTTCCTCTTAATTTAGACATTAAGGTCCATGTGAAGCTGGATTCTTCTTTTCACAACTCCTATTTAGGATACAACTGTTTATTTTTCAAAGCTGCTTAAGAAAATCCTGCATCTGCTAGTTCTGCAGAGAGGCGGCCCAGATGTCGCCCCATCACGCTTCCTAGAGAGGCCTCTGTGCACAGGCAAGACTTTGCCATCCTGCCAGGAAGTTTTCACCGGGAGAAGCAAGCCTGCTTTGTTTTGTTTTGGGGAGAAAACGAGTGTGAGGTTGTCCCTTTTTTTGGAAAATAAATGAAAGAATTGTTTTTAAAGGGAGTGAAAAGATAAAGATAGGCATGTTGCCTAAAACCAAGAACTACTAAATAAATAAAAGCAGCTACCTTTTCTGCCTTTCAGCACAGAATAGCATTTATTTAAGAAGATTCCTAAGTGAAGGAAAATATCTGCTGGTCCGTAGTAAAAAGAGACATCATCGTAATCATCGTTTCCAAGTAATCCAGTTGTGTTTTAATGATAACAACAACTGGACTCTATATCTTACAGTGATTTCACATTAATTGTATCACTTGGTTATTCAGCCCCATGAGGAACAAGCTAACTAACCCCATTTTAAAGATGAAAAAATTGTGATTCAGCTGTGACTGCCAACAGACATCTCGTGAGCGGTGGGTCTAGGACGCCGGCCCAGGTCTCCTTCCTCTTCCTTTCCTCTTAATCACGTGTTCACCCCACACTACTTCCTGATGAAGGAAAAGGGAAATAGAAAATGTAAACTTTTTTCTTTTTTCAAAAATAAATGAATTTTCTGAAAAACTATTATCAATTACCAAAATCATTAGCTTTCTTTTGATTTTCCTCTTGTACATAGAAAACCAGGCCAATTTCTGTTTTATTTGTGGTTGATTTGAAAGACATTTAAACGTTGGATCAGTATCAAGATTTCTAAAACTGCTTTACATTTCTAAACTTTCACATGAAAAGTTTATTTCTGAGCCAGTCCTGGCGGTGTTGATATAGGTGGTCTTGGGCATCTGACCCAGTCTAGGGCGACAGTAGGTGACAAAGGGAAAAGACTTTTAAGTGCACATCTCTATTATCTTAGAAGGAGGCCACTGGCAAGAGGCCGTGAGATTGACACAGTTAACTGATTACTTGTAAAAATGAAATTTTCTCTTTAAGAGTACTCACTGTCTTGGGGTCTCGTGGAGAGAGGCTGCGTAGGACTTATCTTTATGAGTGATGTTATTTTGGCCACAGTCTCGAGAGTCTCAGATCTAGAAAATTCAAAAACAAAACGCTGGTAATCTCTTATACTTTTTAAAGTGACGGCGGAAGACATTCCTTTCATTAATGAGAACGTCAGAACTGCTTTTCCCTGAACAGCACTAATTAAACAAATCACTTTTGCTCTTTTGGACAGAGATTTCTGGGCTGGCATGTTGATCAGTTGGCGTCTGATAAAAGTAGTCTTCCCAAAAATTGAGTAGAATTGTTTAGATGGTCGTTGTGTTCTTGGTGTGTGCCAAGATTTTTCAGTCATTAATGGATGAGATGCACCATCTTTGGATTGGACTAATTTCACAGCAAGTGAGGTCTTCTGTCCTCATCTTGCTGTAGGGTGGGGATGGGAGCCTCACTCGTTTGCTCCATGTATCATCTACGTATGTACATTGGCACATTGCTCGTATTTAACCTGGAAATGTGGTGTATGTTACGTTTCATTTTTCTCTTTTCTTTCATTAATATTCTGTAGCTGTTAGAATTTTGGGAAGGAGACATGGTTCTTAGTGTTGCAAAGTTTTTGCCAGCAGGACTTCACGTCTACCAGACGCTTGATGGTAAGATAAATATTAAGACGCAACAACTCATTTTATATATTGATATATTTGTGGGGCTCCTCCATGATTTCTACACTTGGCCAGTCTTTCCCCCTATCTACTACTTTCTTAACTATGTAATTTATCCAATTTATAATGTATCCAATTTATATAATGTGTGAAATTTTACTAACATGGAAAATTTTTTTTTTTTTTTTTTGAAATTTAAGCTACCTCTCTACCAAATTACTTTCTTTAAGGCTTTGGAATTTTTTATGTTATCACAGTGTTTTTGAGCAAAATAATTTGAAACCATTTGAATCTTATTTATATAACATGAATTTTTAACCCAACTCTCAGCCTCACAGTGTGTAGCAAAAGAAACAAAAGTACTTGGAGAGCTTAACATTTCCTTCTTTTATGTAACAACAAAACAAATAACAGTACTCACGGTATTAACACTTACTTTGGACTTCACTGTGCCAAATAGTGAGATAAGTGTTTTATGTAAATTATCTCATTTGATTGTCGCAAAATTCTTTTATCCCCATGTCATACATGAGAAAAGTGAAGCGTTCAGACTTGAAGTACACGAGGACATACAGCTAATTAGTGGTGGGACTGGGACCATTTGATACCTAAGCCTTTTTCCTGTTCACAGTGACAAGTGCAGGTGACCTTTATAGTAACTCTTTTTTCCTGCCATCATGCTGACAAAGCTTATGTAGCAACATGGGGAAATACTTATAAAATGAAAGAAAAAAGCTACGGAGGTTAATGGAAAGAATAAAGATAAAAATAACATCAGTATAATAAACATAATTAGTTTCCCTTAACGGGGATGCTTTTTCAAACAGATACTTATGTCTCAGCTCTTTCTTTAGTAAAATTGTTTTTAGTAGTCATGACGAGTGGTCTCTGATGACCGCCTCTTCCTAGGAGATGACCTGGCGCTGTGTGAACTTGACCTTGCTGATGAGGAAGACATCTTTGTATGGAATGGAGTGGAGGTAAAAAAGTGTTGAAGAGATATTCACAATAGCTTTGGATTTCTTTTAAGTCATTGTAGTGAAATTTTATTCAGCATATGTAAAGGCAAGTAGATATAAGAAAACTGCTGACATACTTAATAAATTGTAGGTGCAGTAAATAGTAGTAACATGTTAAAGGGATGTTTATTGAGCACCTCCATTGTGCCACGCTGTGTGTCAGATGCTAGATACAAAGGTAAATAATCAGTCCGTGGTTTTCAGGCCTTCATGATGTAATTGCGGAAATAAAAGTGCCGGAGTAGTGGTCTGTGCCTATGCCCTGTGGGAATTCAGAGGGGGGAAGTAGCTATACTGACTTAGAGAATGAAGGTGACTTGTAGGAGCAGAGTGAGTTTTCTGAGTCAGGAAAGGAGCGAGGAACATCTCAGCCATTCAGAGAACTGTCCTTGATCCATCTCACGTACATCTGAGGCTTCCTCACCACCCCGAGGACTCACACATCTGTCTCTGCTCCAGATTTCTCTCCTAAAAAAAAGATGGCTAAGAGAAAGTTGTGAAAGAAAAACCTAAAATTATTTCCTGGTACTTAAAAGACATTTGTGAAAATTTTATTTCACTTGACAAAAATGAGAATTATTCTGTAAGAAGAGTCTTTTACTACGTTGTTATGTCGACTTCATTTCAGCAAATGTAGACTATACTCATGGTTGTCTTGATACCACTGTAGGTTGGCGGAGCCCAGATTCCCACTGGCAGTGACTGTGAACCTCTGCTTTTGAATGTCCTTCATCTAGCAACAAGCAGCGAAGGGGAGAAGTGTGAGCACTTGACAGAATCCACACATGTCTTCCCGTCTAATGCAGAAGTAGGCTCTGTGTTCACAGCCTTGGCGATCCCAGCAGGTGTCGCCTTCGTTGTCAGTGCCGAGCCTGCAGGGGAGGAGCACTGGACCGCCATCCCCGAGGGAGACCTGAAGAGGACGTTCAAGGAACAGGGTCTCAGAAACGGAAGCTCACTTTTGGTTCAGGATTCCAGTAATGATGACAACAGGTAACTCACTGAAGAGAATTCTCTCTTCGTTATTTTAATTGCAGCACTGTCTCTTAGAACTCTAAAGCTTTATTTTAATAATAACAGTTAAATGTTTCCTTTTATTTCTAGACATTGTGTTCTATAGATCATAAGTAGGATGTTCTAGATTAGGCAACTTGCAGAAAAATGGTACTGTAATATGATTTTTCGAGGAGGCAAATGCGATAACTAATATAGGTATAGACAAGAGAAGGTCTAGGTTAGTTGGCCATAAAGCAGAAATGAAATCCTATGGAATGAGTTCTCATCAGATCAGCACTCGTTATAAAACTGGAGGCATGTTCTCACAGCATTCTCACAGAAAAAATTTCATGAGGGTGATGTTAAGAGCATAGCAGAACTTGGCTATTTTGTCACAAGAATCCCATGAGTCTTTCATCACAGTCCCTTTTCTGACTCTTGAGATCCTCCCAGCTGCCCAGATAGGACAGTTAATGGGGAGTTATGTCCTTGATCCTGGAAGTCACACTTGAATCTCAGAAGTGTTGCTGCTCTTCATTTTTGTTATCCACGTCTGGGACGTTGTGTAGTGTCAGTTTCTGTGATCAGTGTAACCCCCAGATTTCCATATATTAAAGGCTTTAGGTCATGAACGACAGATCAGTTCCCTGCCTTATTAGTGCCATGAATATACTTAGATTATAGAGGCTCTGTGTTATTAATAGTGGCTGTGGCCCAGAGAAGCAGAGCATTTATGAACTGTGTTTATTTTGTAGAACATTTATCACTGTTGCTCTTTTGAACAGGTATTTCCCAGTCATTTACTTCCTCACCATGTGAATTTAATAAAAAAGTTTATTATATATATTTTTAAAGTAATGTACATTTTTTAGGACTGGGGAAAGACAGAGGTGAAGACGGCAGAGTCACGGCAGCGTCCTTGGACCACCAGTGCAGCGTCGGTCACCGTTAGCATACCTTTTTTCCTAAACTCAGATAATTGGCTTTTTGTTTTGAAGGTTTTCTCTTTATAAACGAAATAAGCATTTCATAGATAGTTATATCCTGCTTCCTCCCACCCCATGTTTGTAGACTTTTCTTGAAGCTCATTTCACGGTACATGATAATCTGTGCTGACGTTACCTAACTGTGCTCCTGGGGAGGCAGTCCACGGCGTGGGTAAGGACAGGGACGCTGGCGCCCGCTGCCTGGGTTTGTTTCCAGCCTTCTCACTTCCTAACACCGTGACTGGGCAAGTTACTTCACCTCTCTCTGCTCAGCTTCTTCCTCTGTAAAACAGGAAAGTAATTAGTATGGATGTCATGGGGTTGTAAGGAGTGAAAGAGTTAAGTGTTTACCAAGTACGCACACAGTGAGCGCTAAATATTTTAGCTAGCAGCATCATTATCGTTGTCATCATCCAGTTTTTCACTATTTTAGTATGATCTTCAGGGAACATCTTTGTTTTTAAAATTTAACTGCGTTGAGGATTGCTAACTTAAGGAAGAGTCCCAGAGTGGAATAACTGAGATCCAGAGTGGAATTGTGTCTCGGGGCTCTGAACACACGCCCAGAGAGGACTCCGCTGGCCCTGTCTGTGCCTCCCTGTGGATTAGGAAGCAGTCATTCCTTCCCCAAGACCCTTTACTACCATCTGTAGGAAAATTTTGTTAGAATAAGCCACTCTACTGCTGTCTGCTATCATAAAATTAAACTCTACAATAAAAAAGCAAATATACAATGTGTAGGATGTGAATGATACCCCTTAGCTGTGACACTGTTATACAGCGTCACTCCACACAGCCGTACGTGGCTGTCCTGTAATTAAACTAAATTTGGATTCCATGGCTGGGCTTCTGGCACAGGTGTTTTTAAAGCCCCTCTGGCGATGCCGGTGTTCAGGCAGAAGTCAGCACCTGACTGTTCACTGATAGCAGTTCTCTTTGGAACATGAGGCGGCAAATTATTTGTGTAAGTCAAAGGACATCTGGAGTCACGGAGATAGACTCCATGGAATACTACCTAACACTACCCCGAAAAGACTGTCTGCTTTCGTGAAGCCAGCTCGGTAGATGTGGTCACCTTTACTTAGTCACATGAAGGGACACATGCGAAATTTTAGACATGGCACCTAAGGAGAAGTCTTGATTTCCTGATCCTTTCTGGTCCATAAAAGTGCTATTTTAAAACTTCTTTTTACCTACAGTTTGCTGACCAAACAAGGGAAATGGATCACTAGTGCGAATGAGATCAACTGGATCCAAGTCAAAAATGTATGCCAGTCACAATCTGAAGAGGAGCAAGTGAAAATACCAGCAACTGTTAACACAGTGAGTAGAGTATAATTAAAGTCTGGTTGACAGTTTTTTAATTAACCGACTTTTATTTAAAAGCAATATCTTAATCTTTCAGAAGACTCTCAGTAGACTTCAGAATCTTAAGAAATCAACTTTTTATTTTTAATATTTGATTATTGCTTGTTTACCTATTATTAGCCATTGGTATGTCTCAAGAAAATATGCCTTTTTTTCCTCCAAAGCCTAGAATTACAATGTGGGAGTTAGCTATCAGTATATGGAATCTTCTGGCTTTCTTGTCAAATATGTATAATGTGGCATCAAAATACAAATATGTTTATATTTTTCAAACTATATCAAAATATGAAATACTGTTTTCAAGGGTCTTTTCAATATTTTTTAAACCAGATATATATGTTTTGCTTTTGTGTTGTTTCGTCTTTTTTTTTTAAGTTTAACTGAAATTGCTCTACCTTATACCCTATGCTCTCTATAAAGCCACCTTCTCTTTAAAAGGGATTCCTTCAGTCTTCCATTTGAAGACTGTGATACTGATGTCCTTAAACGTTATTTCAGGAAATATCTTTTTATATTTATATAAATTTATATTTATATAGTGTCAATTCATTTAAGTTTTTTTTCCTACAACATTTAAAAAGAAGCATTCTAATAGAATGTCTTTTCTATAAATATGATAATTTTTAAAGTGCATTAATATTTGGTGGCATAGTTGAGGGGACAGTGTAAGACCGAGGCACTAAAGCTCAGACCTGCCACCCTAGCCCTAAGTGTGGGTCCCTGGTGGGAGGAGAGAGTGGATGATCTCTGGCCTAGGTCTTACCTTTACATTTCTATGATGTTTTGCCCTAGAGGCAATTAGCCTAAACTTAAAAAAAAAAAAAAGCAAAGAGTTCGAAAATAAAGTAATTTAAATAGGCATTTTAAATGGCGCCCTTGGATTAATAGTGTACATTTTTATATTATTTATGCTTATTGGCTCTGAACTTATCATTCTTAACATAGAGAAATGCAATTACCTGCAGTCGCTTTTGTTTGCTCTCGTCAGAAAGATTAGTGGTTTGTCAGTTTTTTGCCTTTCTAGCTTGGTTGTTTCTTTGGTGTTCTGTAGGAGTCCCTTCTGTTGCAGTTAACATCCGTTTGTAAAAACTTAACTATTAAGATCTCAGTTTTTGCTTTTGACTTCTATGGAAGAGAGAAAATGAATTTCAGGGATGGAAAAACATTATTTCAAGTAGGTAAAAACTGCTAAATGTCAGGTCATTGATAACTCAGTTTGTACACACAGTCTTCGTTTTCCTCTCCTCCCATTGTTTTCAGTGTATGCACAGTCATTAGTTTGTTTCTCTATTTTAGGTGGTGTTTGATATTCGAATTAAAGCCATAAAGGAATTAAAATTAATGAAGGAACTAGGTAATCATTTATGTTTGCTTTTGGTTTTTTGGTTCGATTAAGCTTTGTTTTGACTTTTAATTGAAAAAATTATGGGAGAGTACAAAAAATAATTTAGGGGAATTTCATGCACCTACCACCCAAAATGGACAGATGTTAACATTTTGTCATGTGTTCGTTTCCGTTTGAAACATTACAGATAAAATCCTCTGTGTCCTCCTCTTCAGACCTCTCTCTCCACGCAGATACAACCAGTATATCTGATTTGGGTGTGTAGCTAGTCTGTGTATTCATAGTATACTATGTATGTTATGCTTCTGTATATATGCATATGTGTATATTGTATTTTTATATTTACATAAATTCTCTCATACTGAACAAACCACTCTGCAAACCCACTATTCACTCAGCTTCAGGTTTTAACAGCCTTACTGAAGTATACTTTATATATCATCAAACACCTGATTCATGTATAATGCAGTGATTATTAATTAGTAAATGTACAGCATCACCGTAATCCAGTTTTGGAACATTTCCATCACTCCCAAAAGAGCCCTCATTCCTGTTTGCATTCTGAGCCCTCAGCAACCACTCATCTACTTTCTGTGTCTCCAGACTTGCTTTTCTGGACATTCCATGTAAATAGAACCACATAATACAGAGTCTGTGTGTCTGGCTTCTTTTCACTTAGCATTCCATTTTTGGGTTCATCCATGATTTGGCATATATCAATAGTTTGTTTCTTTTTATTGCTAACTAGTATTTCATTATACATATATATGACATTTTGTTTATTCACCAGTTTATCGTTTCTACTTTTTGGCTCTTACGAATAGTGGTGCTATGAACGTTATCTTTGTGTGGACATGTGTTTTCAGTTCTCCAGGGTAGATATACAGGATTGGAGTTGATGGGTCAAATGGCAAATGCATGTTTCACCTTATGGGAAACTGCTGCCATGCTGTTTTCCAAAGTGGCTGCGGCATGGACCTCTCCTCACTAGCAGGGTGTCACGGTTACAGCTTCTCCACCTCCTTGCCAGTAGTTGTGATTGTGTGTGTTTGTGTGTTTAATTGTATTTCTTATGCAGTGACGCTGAGCACTATTGATGTGTTATTGTATATTTGTATATCCTAAGGATTCTATCTAAAAGCTACTAGAATTAATAAGTAAATTTAACAGGAATTGAAATCAATACACAAAAATTTACTGTGCGTTTATCTACTAGCAACAAAAACAAATGGAAAATGAAATTAAGAAAACACTTATAATAGACTACGATGTCATGAAATACTTGCAGATAAAGTTAACAAGATCTGTGCAAGACCCGTACCCTGAAAACTAGAAAACATTGCTGGGAAAACCAAAAGACCTGACTAAATGGAGTGAGGTGCCATGTTCTTGGATTGGAAGACATGACATTGTTAAGAGGCTAATTCTCTCAAAATTTCTGTGTAGATTCAGTGCAATCTCAGAGTCCTTGCAGGTTTGGTTTGATTTTGTTTTGTTTTTTGGAGAAAATTGAGAAGCTAATTCTTTAATTTAAATGGAAACGCAGAGAACTTAAGTATTCATAACAGTTTGGTGGGGAGCAAAATTGGAAGAACTGCACTACCTGATTTTAAGACTTACCCTAAAGCTGGCGTAGTCAGGACTGTGTACTGGCATGAGAGTTAGCACACAGACCGGGGTCAGCAGGCTGTGGCCTCAACCGGTTTCTGTACAGCAGCCGAGCTAAGGATAGTTTTTACATTTTAAAAAGGCTCTTTTACAAAGAAGAATGTGCAGTAGAAATCATAACTGGTTTTTGAAGCCTAAAATATGTCCCAGTGGAACTACACCGAGAATCCAGAAATAGGTGCAAACTTATTCTGTCAGTTGACTTTCAGCAAAAGCACCAAGACATTTCTATGGGGAAAGATATTATATTTTCAACATAA